GACATCCGTTAAAAAATCAGAGGATATTGCAAACACATGAATTGACATGTGCCTCATGTTCTCAAGGGAAATTGATAATAAGACCATCACATACTAAAGTCGGGAATGAATCACCATTATTTTTAGAAAGGATTCATGGTGATAAATGTGGACCTATTCATCCACCTTGTGGTCCATTCAGATATTTTATGGTGTTAATTGATGCTTCTAGTAGATGGTCTCACGTGAGCTTGTTATCCACTAGAAATGTGGCATTTGCTAAATTGCTTGCCCAACTTATCAAATTAAGGGCTCAATTCCCAGATTATATTATAAAAAGGGTCAGACTGGACAATGCTGGAGAATTTATATCTCAAGCATTTAATGATTATTGTATGGCAGTGGGAATTGATGTTGAACATCCTGTAGCACATGTTCACACTCAAAATGGTCTAGCAGAATCATTGATTAAATGACTGCAGCTTATAGCCAGACCATTGATAATGAGAACAAAACTGCCCACTTCAGTATGGGGACATGCTATTCTGCATGCAGATAATCTAATTCTCATAAGACCAAGTGCACACCATACATACTCGCCATTACAGTTGGCATCTGGTCGAGAACCAAATATTGCACACATAAGAAATTTTGGTTGTGCGGTGTATGTACCAATTGCTCCGCCCCAACGTACGAAAATGGGGCCTCAAAGAAGGTTGGGAATATATGTTGGATATGAATCTCCATCAATAATAAAATATCTTGAGCCAAAAACAGGTGATGTTTTTACAAGCCCGGTTTGATGATTGTCATTTTAATGAAGAATTATTTCCCCCTTTAGGTGGGAATGAAAAGTCAATTGAGAAAAATATTGAATGGAGAACATCATCACTATCATATCTTGATCCTCCCACCAAACAAAGAGAGCAAGAAGTTCAAAAGATTATACATTTGCAGAATATTGCAAATCAATTGCCAGATGCATTTACTGACACAAAAAGGGTGACAAAATCACATGTTGCAGCTATAAATGCCCCTGCTCGAATTGAGATTACAAAAGAAATGGCAAATGACAATGTGCCAAATGAATTAAAGGCACGCTTGAAACGAGGAAGGCCAGTGGGGTCTAAAGATAAGAATCCTCGAAAGAAAAGAGAAATTCAAGATTCGAATTTGAAAAAGAATCAAAATGATGGAAAAATTTCGGGAAAAAATGAAAATATTGAAATATCCATCAATTACGTAAATAATGGGAAACTTTGGAAGCGTGATGAGATCATTGATGATGCGTTCGTATATATGGTATCGCAAGAAATTGACAAAGAAGTTGAGGACCCTGAACCAAAATCTATGATTGAATGTCAGAAAAGACATGATTGGGACAAGTGGAAAGGTGCTATTCAAGCCGAGTTAAATTCGCTTAATAAACGAAAGGTTTTTGGACCTATAACCATTATACCCAAAGACATAAAACCTATTGGGTACAGATGGGTTTTTGTCAGAAAAAGAAATGAGAAAAATGAGATCACAAGATATAAAGCTCGCCTTGTAGCACAGAGATTTTCCCAGAGGCCTGGGATCGATTATGATGAAACATATTCCCCTGTTATGGATGCAATTACTTTCAGATACTTGATTAGTTTGACCATCCATGAAAATCTTGAGATGCGTCTTATGGATGTTGTGACTGCTTACTTATATGGATCACTAGACGCTGACATTTATATGAAAATTCCAGAAGGAATTAGAATGCCCGAAGCACTAAAGTCCAAACCTAAAGAGTTATGTGCGATAAAGCTGCAAAGATCATTGTATGGCTTGAAACAATCCGGGCGTATGCGGTACAATTGTTTGAGTGAACAATTGCTTAAACGGGGATACATAAATAATCAAATATGTCCGTGTGTTTTTATAAAAAGATCACAAGATGGAGTTGTGATAATTGTTGTCTATGTCGATGATCTTAATATTATTGGGACTACAAATGAAATTCAAGAAGCAATCACTTTACTAAAAGGCGAATTTGAAATGAAAGATCTCGGACAGACCAAATATTGTCTCGGCTTGCAAATAGAACGTGTCTAAAATGGGATATTTGTCCATCAATCTAATTACACTAAAAGAATATTGAAACGATTCAATATGGACAAGGCTAATCCACTCAGCACCCAAATGGTCAATCGAACATATGATGTTGAAAAGGATCCATTTCGTCCTTGTGATGAAGATGAAGAAATACTTGGTCCTGAAATACCATATATGAGTGCAATAGGGGCTCTTATGTATCTTGCAAATTGCACCAGACCAGATATATCTTTTGCTACCAACTTGTTGGCGAGATATAACTCAGCACCTACAAGGAGGCATTGGAATGAAATTAAGCATATATTCCGTTATCTCCAAGGGACAATCGATTTGGGACTGTTTTACTCTAACGATAAGAAACATGAAATAATCGGTTTTGCAGATGCAGGATATCTCTCAGATCCCCATAAAGCAAGATCTCAAACTGGATACGTCTTTACAATTGGCGGAACTGCATTTTCTTGGCGTTCCCAGAAACGAACATTAGTTGCGACGTCTTCAAACCATGCCGAGGTCATTGCATTACATGAAGCAACTAGAGAATGCATCTGGCTCAGAAACACGACTCAACACATTCAACAAGCCAGTGGACTATCAAATAATAATGACCCGACGGTGATATTCGAAGACAATGCAGCATGTGTCGCTCAAACAAAAGAAGGATACATAAAAAATGACAGAACTAAACATATCCCGCCAAAGTTATTCTTATATGCGCAAGAGCTTGAAAGAAACAAACAAATCACAGTTCAATACATTCGATCAAGCGATAATGCAGCAGATTTGTTTACGAAGGCGCTTCCGACGACAATATTTCGAAAGCACGTGCACAATATTGGGATGAGACATCTTCGGGATTTGCACGGATGATAACTCGAGGGGGAGTATGTGCGGCTGTACTCTTTTTTCCTTGTCTCGGTTTTTTTCCCACAGGGTTTTTCCAGATAAGGTTTTTAACGAGGCAGCATAAACGCACATTTTATTGTGGTAATTCCAAGGGGGAGTGTTGTAGCAAGTGGAATAACCACTATTAATAAATCATTTACCTTGAAGTGTGTGCCAAAAATTTTGCCTATAAAAAGGTATCTTCAGCATTGTAAATTTTGTACGAAAAAGAAGGAAGAAAGAAAGAAAAGAAAGCAGCTTATATTTTGTTCTGGTTTCTATACATTGTGTTCTTTATATCGCTCGCATTTTATAACAAGATGAAAATTGTCCGTGCACATTAAGACTATGTTTGATAGACAAATAAAATAACTTACAGCTCATTTAATTAGCTTATAAGCTTCATGTATTTAACTAAGTCTTGTTTGGTAAGACGAGTTTTTTTAAAAAACTCAAGCTTAACTAATAAGCTTCTTTAGGTAGCTTTTCAGATAAGCTCGTTGAAATTTCTATTTCAGCTATCTTATCAATTTATTTTACCAAACACCTTTATCATATAAGCTAGTTTTTTCAGCTATAAGTCATAAGCTATTAGTTCAAAAATTATAAATAAGTTATAAGCTAATTTATCAGCTATCAGTTAGTTTTACCGAAATGGTGAAATTATGATTTTCAATGGTCAAATATGAATAAATTTGTGTAGGTGACATAAATGTAGGAATTATAAGATTCCATTTTAATAGTAGTGGTATTTTATTTTTATAGTGATCTCATCTTTCCTAATTTACTAAGAGGAGAGAGAGTGACATTGTGCAAATGCCAACACAAAGTCTTAACAAAAATTAAAATCTTGCATTTCCCAAACAGAATAAAATAATAATCTCCGCAGTGATTCTCCCTTTTAATAATTCTTAAAATTTATAACCTCAATATACCCCTTGGTGAATTACCCATCTTATGACTAGAAAAAGGGTCCGGCAGGGGCATTATTGTCATTTCAGGGCAAGCCTTCTTGGAGGGTACCTAAAGGCTAAAACAGTGTTCCAAAAAAGCATCAAAAAAATGGTCACACACACAGGCACACACTAAATGATGAGCATAGAAAACAGCAACATATGATAGAGTAAGCATAGAAAACAGCAACATATGATAGAGTAAAAAAACCTAGACGACCAACGGATTAGTCGGCATAGCTCCGAATACCACGACCAAAAAAAATAGTTTTTTTTTTTTTCTTTTTTCCTTTTATTCTGTTTTCATGTTTTGCTGGGCAGTTCTATGTTTCTCCATTGACATACAGTGCTCATGTGATTTGAGAGTAAGAAAATAGGGAAAATAAGGAGAGAAAAAAACAAATTAAAAAAAGAATAATTAATTAGGCATGCAAGTTCACTTTTTGTACACATAATTGTAACTCTACTCTTTGTAGGTTGGTTTTCTTTGTATTTTTTCCAGAGTTAATTTCATTCTAAACGACTTTTCATAATTCTTTTGTCAAGAATAAGAATCTGTGTGTGTGTGTGTGTGTGTGTGTGTGTTTGTGTGTGTGTGTGTGTGTGTGTGTTTGTGTGTGTGTGTGTGTGTCCCCTTTTCCTATGCCTATCTAAAAGTGAGACCGCAATTTTCCCAACCAAGCCGTTGGGCACACAAGAGAAGGAGCAAATGATTGATTTTTACTCACAATTCGTTGTGGGGTGTTTTTCTTCGGCTTCAATTCTCTGAGATCTGAAGTGGGGTATGACTATTTTTCTGTAGAAATTGTTCTTGCTCTGTAAAAATCTAGTCTTTAATTTCACTTGCATGCTCTGAATCTGATCTCTCTCTCTCTCTCTCTCTCTCTCTCTCTCTCTCTCTCTCTCTCTCTCTTTGGTTTCCTCTGTGTTGGTTTTTTTTCAGCTGTTGTTGCCTGAGATCTGATTTTATGCTTTTCATGGAAACTCGTTTGTTAGTTGTTACATTATACCAGTCGTACTTTTTGGGTAGTAGTTACTGTTTTCTCATATATGGCTAGATTTTTTAAGGCAGCACTTATTAGCGGCATTGTAAACGACATGGAACTCGAATTCGACAAATATTGTGTCGTGGATGGAAGCCCCAAGACGGTCCTCCCTGCTCCCTATCACCGTTCGAAAGCCGTTTACAGAAAGTCGAATGAGAAGGTCAAATGTGGGAAAGATTTGCTCGGCCTCGACAAAAATTTCAGGAAGATCAGCTTTAACCGCTACCGCAGTGCATCCTGCAGGGACGCTCGGCCCACGAGAGCCAATCCCGAGCTGCACAAGCGTGGTTCGGTTTACCAAGGCTCGGAAGATGTGAATCTTTTTAGAAATACAGATTTTGTGGTTGGGAGGCAAAAAATCGAGCTTTCGCGTGAGAGCGCTGCAGCTTTCCCTTTAGGGATCATTGATTCTTTATGTAGTTTGGATGAAGATGGGTCATTAGGGGATCGAGAAAGGTCCTCGGCGGTGTCGACATCAGAAAAAAGTACGAGTTCATACTCGATAAATTATTGTTTCTTGAGCAACAGCAAAAAAGTGTTGTTGGACAATAATATCAGTAAGCCTGCTAAGGATATCGTGATCAAATCTGTAGTCTCCTCATTTGCTCCAGTCAAATACGGTAACAGCCCAAGGGAAAAAAAGCCAGCCGTTAATTTGCGAAAATCGTTATCGTCTAAGTTAGCCTTGCCCCACTCACCTGCTCGTTCGGAGAATGATTGCTCAGAAACAAACGGTCAGAAAAACTTTGATCGTTCTGTTAAATCGGAAGACAAAAACGAACCAATGTGCAAGCTTGCCATGAAAGATTTTTCAGACAACCTTAATTTGGTCCCTCCATCTTCACCAGCTCACATTCGCGGCTTTCTAAAATCTGAACACAAAAACGGCCTCCCGTTTTTCGAATTCTCAGTGAGTTCGCCCCCAGATGACGCTTGTTTTGTCGCAAAGACACGGAAAGTCAATAATGCCCTTACGTGGGTCTACACTTTTCACTCACTCCATCATAAAAGAAAGAGCAATGCAAGTTTATCCAGTATGGTTGGCCAGATGGTAGTATCATGCAATCTACGTACAGAGCTAAACGGTCCCGGAGCATTTAACGATGCCATGGTGCAAGAGTGCGTTTTGTACGATGTTCCACAATCGAGAACCGATATTACGAAACTGCCTCTACCTGCCAAGAAAATGGTTAAAGATCGAATTTTTAAGCACTATCAGCCTCTGGCAGCACCAGATATGCATCCAGAGCTGGAAATTGCGGCGATCGTCATGCGGGTTCCGTTCGTGAAGAGAGAGAGTCTGAAGTTCAAAACCGGGGACGGGAAAAAGGACTGCCTGCTGGAACTTTGCCAGATGGAGGAGAAGAGAGAGGAGAAGGAGGAGGGTATTTCGGTCAATTCATGTCGCGGGGAGATGCATGTGGTGGTCCCAGCTGGGAGCCACAGTTTGCCATGTGGTGGTGAAAACCGTGGGGGGCCGTCACCGTTGTTGGACAGGTGGAGGTTGGGCGGAGGGTGTGACTGTAATGGCTGGGACATGGCGTGCCCTCTCGACGTTTTTGTTAATCCGGATTTTCGGATTTGTGACGGGCAACCGTTGGTGGACAGGTGGCATCCGGTGGAGCTCTTTGTTCAGGTAAATTGATATTTTAAATATGATGCAAGGATTATTTGTATATACTTTTTTGTGATCGATCATCCATTAAAGCTTAATTCTCTTATGTATGGCAATTGATTCTTCGAAATTGGAAGCAAACTTACTTTATTTCTGCCATTTGTATAAGAACACATTTTGAGTGTTGACTGGCTTTGTGATGAGATTATATGGATGAACCACCGAAGTTTATCCGTACACAATCTTCGTACACAACACACGAACCCAATTGATAAAGAAAAAGGTGGTATTCTTGAACGTAACGTCATTGCGGAATGTAACTGATGACTAATAACATCAAAGAATGGTAGACGAATGTGGTCCAACTGATTGATGGTTGAAAACTTGGAAAATCGGTGAACAATTTATTTCTTTGTTTGTGATTTCGACCGAGCATTACATGTGATTCTTAGTACAAAGAACTCAATAAAAGAAGCTATTGTGTTGTTTATCTGCAAGTATGATATATACATCGTCAAAATCTGACGATTTTTGCTGTCGATTTTTGCACCTTGCAGGGACGAAAAAAAAACAAGATGCCTGCATTTACAATGAGGGCAGTCGAGGATGGAAAGTACGTCATTCATTTCCATGCACAGTTGTCTTCTCTGCAAGCGTTCTCCATATGCGTAGCTATTCTGCATGCTGCAAACGCATCCACAGCAGACGAGCACGAGGCTAACAAACGAATGCTGCAAAGTGGTGATTCTCTTAGGGTATTTGCCGAGGAGGAAATCAAGAACTTGATGGACTCGATATCCGAAGAGGAGAAATTTAAGGCCGGCAGCAAAAAAGACGAAGTCTTGCCATCTTTTGTGCTAAATCCACCCTTCTCACCGATTGCTCGAGTATAGATTAGATATAGGCTTTTGTTATAAAAAAACCGAGCCAAGAAAAGAGGGTAACTGAACAAAGCTTCTCCTGGTTTAATTTTTTTAGCTATTCTTTTTTAGACAAAAATCAAATTGAACACTATACTGTTCATATTGTTAGAGACTGATAGGAATTTTCAACATGAGGCTTTTTTTTTTTTTATTTATGTAATTTAAGGTGGTTAAATTTGTTTTCTACTGGAATTTGCAATGTTGTCAATGCAATATACAATGAATAGAGATAGAGATAGCCAGTCAACGGGTCGGGCTGGCGGGCCTCCCATGGGCGACCCTTGACCGGCCCACCCAAAAACCAAGGGCCGGGCCCGTGAACCGGTGTGGGACCAAAAAAAAAAGTGTGAACCGAGACCGAACTGCAAGGGCACGGTCCTGATTCTCGGAACCGCAGCTTTTTGGACCGGTTGCGGGCCGGGACCGGTCCGGCACGCGGCCCCGTCTAAATAGAGACAGCCCCATGAATTTTCTAACTTTCCCATAAATCAAAATTTGAAGAAAGAGCATGTTCTAGTTTGGGACTGCAGGCAAAATTATTTATATTAGTAATAAAATTATTTAGATTTTTAAGAGGAAGTCTGAAGAAGTTGAAGAATTTCCAAAAAATTCGAACATAATCTACTGTAGTCAATGCGGCCACAGTGTACTGGACTTCAAAAAAGTCAAAGGATAATTTGATGACGACGAAAATTTGAACAAAAGCATCTCAGAAAACAAAAAATAAAATTAAAAAATAGGGGCGCCGTTGCCGGGGATCGAACCCGGGTCTCCTGCGTGACAGGCAGGGATACTCACCACTATACTACAACGACTTGATGCTAAATTTGGCACTAGGATATCTTATGTTATATATCATCAATCATTTCAATCACTGCTTAATTTTTTGTACCAGCAAGTCCGCAACGTGGAGGAAGAGAGAAGCTGTAATAGATTATCACGTGATTTTTCACTACCAAAGTAGACATGGTCAAGTTTTGGGCCGAACCCGCACGGGTCGCCGAGTTCAAAATCACCGATCCGTACCAAGGTACGGTCCGGGTAGATGACCCGGGACCCGTCCTAAAAACTATTGGAAAAATTACTGTTGATTTCCCGCCAGACGAACCGGCCCAGTTTGAATCCAGGCATGGGCCCAGACTCGTGGTCAATGAGTCTGACTGGGCTGGCCAGCGAGCCAGGTGACCAGTGGCCATAACTACTACCAAGAGAAACAAAGATGTATATTATAAGAAGTAGGGTATTGTGAATTTGAATTTTTTATTCACCTTTTGAATTGAGTATTTGCAACCAACTGCCCCCTTATTAACCAAGGAGAAACTAAAGAATGAGCGTTGGGGAATAATTCCATATTGATTCGAACTAATCCATACGCTCGCATTTTTAATAAGATTCCGGCTAAAAGCACACAAGTACTATAAAGCGCTTACAACAAAAGCAACGCATTGCACTTTGCAACATCAGATCACATTAGCATGCAGCATGCTGCATTGGAAGCTAAAATGTTGCAGGCTCAGAACATTTTCGAAACACCCGTCTGCGCTATCTTAAATATTTCATCCATAAGCTAGGGATGACATTTTAAGGAATTACCAGCAAAGTCTAATCTAAAAATTTTTACAACACAAAATAAGGATTTCTAGCAAACCCCTCTAATCTAATACCTAAAAGGGCGAGCCAGCACACGGTGCCCACTGCTGCTCTAATTTACAGACAACTCTGTGACAGTGTAATATCACTGCCACCTTTTGGAAGGTTTAAGTGCAGATGAACTGCTGCTGGCTGTGGCCTTTTTCGAGCCTGACAATGCAAATATACAGCAAGCAAGCATCTAGTTTAAATTCTACAACTCCAAG